TTTTTAAAAAATAAAAAAATAAGTTTCACCCTGAGAAACTGAGATCAGGCATTATAACTTTCTGGAAAAAATACCAGGGTTGCACATGAAGGAGTTAGATCAAAAGAGGCATTAGAGCAGAAGTGATATCTATCAATGCCTTGTGAAGGGCTTAACAGGAGGAACATGTGAACATAAATGGGTAGCTGTTGAAGAAGACTTTGACATTACTAGCTTTTGTGAAACATGGTGGTATGGCAAAAATCAATGGGAAACTTTACAACCTGGCTATGAAACCAAAGTAAAGAGTTTCAATTTAAGGGATGAAGGAATAGCACCTCAAAGTCTCCCCAGAAAAAAAGAATGTGAAAGTCAACAGCTCTACAGCAGTTTACAAACAGGCTTAAAACATTCCCTGAGGGAATACAAATCTGCTCCAGAATTACCAGCTCCAGTATTTTTTGCATTCAGACATGAAAGATCATTTTTAATGTCTTAATTATTCATTTTGTTCAAAAACTCGTTTGTTTGAAAGAAAGCCTTTTATAAGTGCAGCCTGTGGCTCCACAGTTCTGCCTTGTGTGATCTGAAAGGCTTCTTTCCAAAAATCTGCTCTTGTAGAGATTAATTCGATAGCAACTGGAAAATCTTGTGCTCGCCTGGCCATTCCCTTTGGAGGCAAACCAGGTGGCAAACTCAGTTATGTGCAAAGTTGGAACACGAGATCTAATAGTCATTGCTTAACTTAAAAATGCCTGGGTTGTGCCAGGGCTAAATTCATGTGCAGAAGAAGGCCAGAGCCCATCTCTCACAGTGCTCCTGCTCAGGACAGGCTGCCCTGCTCTGCTGCTCACAGACCACACTGCAGCTGCTTCTGGTCCTGCCTCCCAGGGCTGGCTGCCACTCACACCATGCTTAGAGCAGAAAATTAAACTGTGGAGGAAAGAGGGGGATAAGGACATGAAATGCAGCGTTCTCATGGTGGATGTGGGGGAAGCAGTCAGGTTAATATGGCAAAACCAGGCATGACTGGTGGGAAAAGAAAAAAAATTATGTCAATTAAAGTGATTGCTTCTTAATGATGTGTTATAACAAGTAACTTAATCTGTTAACACGGGAAGAAAGCTGTACTCAATAAGCAGGAGATGTGAGACAGCTTAAAGTCTGCAAGTAATGTTTTTCTTTTTTCTCATGGAGTGTTCCAGAAAGATATTGATGCCCAAAAAAAATAAAAAAATCCTTTCTGACCAAATGTTCAACTGTTAGATTCTTCAAGTCTTCAGCATCTTATGTAAAATAACTACAGGCAACCTTAAATTGTAACAAAGGAGAAAACAGCAACTTGCTAGGGAATTTATTTAATCTATATATTCAAACTGACAGTACTCTGAATGTCAGTCTGTGCTTCTTGAGAAAGAAGAAAATTTCCATAGGGTTCATATTGCTGGTTGATTCAGAATGCCTATTATAATTGTGAAATATCAGTAGGAATGGATTGAGATATATTCATGACAGTAGGTGGACTAATGGAATTCAGTGACTTTATTTAAAATGTGCAGCAGTTTATTATAATACTGTAATAGAAATGTCATTTACCCTGACGGGAGGAGAGGGAAAAGCCCTGTCAATGAATAATAATGAAGTTATTTAAATGTCAGCTTTCTTGCAAATAGTTTGCAAAACAGAAATTATTCTACATGTTTCTAGTTTTGTTTAATTTATTACCGGGAAAGCCAGAGCTTCAATCCCACATTTTTTGGTACATTTTTATACTGTGAAAAGAGCTAGCAATTATGAAAATGTTCTTGCATTGTTTTCCACTTTACTGAAAAAAACAGGGAGTCAGACTTTAAGCATCTAGTGGTAAAATTTGAGATTTAAGAACAATTACAACTAATATGGTGGGACATGTGTGAAGTTCAGAATTGAGTCTAAATACTTTTATTTTCTGAATAGTATTCTTCTACTGTCAAATCTGCATTTCAGTGCAGATTTGCATTTCAGTACATCCACAATGTACCACTCACATCCCCTTTCTTCCCCCAAACAATTTGAGATGCCATTGTGGCACACGTGTCTGCACGAGGCACAATAAAATGTTCACTCATTTACATATAGTTATTCCATTAGCTGCAACTATTTAGGAGACGTAGTTTATTTTTGTCTTTTCAGCTCTACAGGTCCTGGGTTTAAGACCTTTACAATGATTTCTCCAGGCATTTGCTTGCTCATGGACACATGGACTAAAAGTGATTTCTCTCTGCAGAACTTCAGAGGAGCAGCCTTCCACACAAAATGTGGAGATGTTGGTTGCTGCATATCCTTTCCCCTTCAGATAACTGGGATTGAATTTGTTGATCCTACTCTGTCATTAGTGCCTACACCCTGCTGAGGTGCAGCTGTCTTCTGCAGCTCTGCCAGGTTAGGCTGCCTTCCTGGGCCCTCCAATGGCTGATGTGTTTTTATGGGTTAGGGAGTCTCATGCTGCTTTATACACCCATTTAATAAGACAAACAAAGCTTGTTATCCAGGCTGCTAATCAGTGCCTGCTTATATACACATACAGACATACATACATACATACATACATACATATATATATATATATATATATAAAATACAGTAATTAGACAAATGGAGGTTGGTGATATGCCTGGGTTGGCTCCCAACAGAGACTCCTCATGTATGCAGTGTTTCCTTTAATGTAATTATTTGTTCCCACTGCTCTGCAAATGTATATATTACCATTTCTTTGTGTTAAAACAGTTATGGATGCCTGTGTGCTGTTGTATATATAACATTCCCCACCCCGTTAAAATTAAGGGTAATTGTGCAGTGGTACAAAAGAAAAAACTGGTAAATGGGAAGGTAGAAGGACTGGCTCTTGTCAGTTTAGAACACAATAATGAGGGTAAGATCTAATAGTAACTCCTTCGATTGCTTGTGAATTCGTCCATCTGAAAAATAAAAAAAATAAAGATGTTTTTCTAAGCTTTTAAATCTTTCGGTTTCTTTTATGGATGTTGACAGAGGCACACACTTCCATCTGTATAGAGTGTTACCTGTAAATAAAGCTGTGAATGCAAAACAATTGCCTAGAGATTTGAAGCAAGAAGTGGCTGGAAATTCTGAAATTACCATTTGCAGTAGGCTGTTGACATAAGTTTGTCTGTGTTGTGGCAGGGTACTGGCTGCCTTTCTTGAACAATTTCAAAGCAAGTTTCACGTCTCAGATTTTCTTTGCTCCTGTCTCCTTTTGAAGGATCCCATTTTGAATTCATTGTCACTGGTATAAGAAGCAGCAGCATTATTTTGTTAATATATTTTTCTTTACTCAGCAGGTCAGATTTAGTCCTTACTATCTTTGCCTGTCTTTGTCAGATCAAACTTCACAAAGGGTAGCTTTTGGGGTTTAGGCAGAGAACAGCAGAAATACTGATTTCTGATAAAACTGGGTGGTGAGGTGGGGCAAGGTAACAAAGGGAAGCTGCAGTCCTTGGGCCAGGCTGTGTTCAGCATCCTGCTGTGGATCCCCTCACCTGGATGCTGGAGCATCTCTGAAATATTCAGCAACAGAAACAACCAGAACAATATCCTGCTCCTCAGTCCTCTGAGGAAATAGCTCAGTTAGTTTATATGTGCTCCTGAGAGAGATGACCTTATAAAGGGGAAGATCAGTCAGCAGATGAGAACTTGACGTTAATGTTCCAAACACCAAAGGTCACACATGCACACAGGAGGGCGTGTGTTTATTGGAGGGAAGGAGAAATCTATGGACATAAATCATAGGCCAGTTGTTATATGAGCAGGCAGATATGTGCAAAGGCTTCTATAGAGTTCCTAAATAGAAAGACTCAACTTTAATGCAGATTCACGTTTTAGTGCAATTTGTCTTTCATGGATAAAACCCTAAGCTGCTGCTTTCTTGTTTTATTCATGTACTGATTGCAAAATCTGAAATCCCAGAAGCTATAATATGAATGTAGGTATGGTACTTGATTCAGAAATGTTCCAGCCTCCATATTCCACCAAAAAAAGGAGTAAATATTACAGGTCTTAAATGCCTTTGTGAATTAAGTCACTGTTGCCCTGATAGGAGAGAATCTGCAAATAATGGGTGCCAAGATTTTACTTCAGAATGTCTGATCTTGGAGTGCTTGGCAAAAGGGAAAATTCATGTTACGGCTTGCAAGTGAAGTTCTATATAGGTCCATTTGTACACGTTACAGAGGAGATACAGGAATGTGTTACACTTTTGAATGTCTGTTACCCAGATACGTGTCCTTTTCTGCAGTTTATGGACACCAACTCTACTGGTTTGGGCTGATTATTTAAATCCCTGGGATACAGGGACAGAATTCGGGCAAGCATGAGCTGCATAATGAACAAAACCTCGGCTGATGATTGATCTTTGTTCCAGCACATGTTAAGAGTAACTCCTACAGGACCACTGGAGTCTTATTTGTTCACTTCTTTTGTTCTTCCCCAAGACATGTAGTCAGTGTTTTTATGGGCAGCCCTCATTGCAGAAGTATTTTATTTGCTCTACTGAATGGTGGCTTTTAAAGCAAAAATAAAGCAAATGTGTCCATCCTTTCTGCTAGTCAGTGTCAGAGAAGCTGCTTTGGAATACATTGAGGTGAGCCATCTTAACAAAATTAGTCTAAGCTTGGAGTATATGATGAATTGATAACCTTAGTCTCTTGCTGTCTGCTATTTGGCATTTCTGACAAGCATTATCTTCTGTATGCAGAATGTAGCATTTCTTATTGTGCATGTTTAAGATGATTTGGAAAGATGCTGGTTTAATTTTTCCTAATCTAATTTAAATGCAAATTGTAAACACGCACATGATGCTGTGTGTATATAATTAAGTATCATTATATACTACATGAATCATTGAAAAAGCTCTGGAGAGCCATTCTGCTATTTAAAGCATGACTTATATTGAAAAGCTGCCAAGTGACTTGTGGTTTTGTGATTAAGTGTTTGTACTTAAAAGAATCTCTCTTGAATTGTAGGTCAACAGATTACGGGACAACATATGAGAAACTGAATGATAAAGTTGGTCTGAAGACTATTTTGAGCTATTTGTATGTTTGCCCAACAAACAAACGAAAGGTAGGTGACAAGGTGTTGGCTCATTTTAGCTTTATGATGCTACTTCTGTCCTGGAGATCTCTTCCAATTTCTTCAGTATCTGTTACTGCTTAAGCAGCAGAAATCTCTCTGTCAGTCTTGGCTTGAAAAAAGTGTGTTACTTTATCAAAATATAACCCAAATTGTACCAACTATACAACTTCCCAGTAGTACTTGAGGGAAGGATGGCTGTTAAATGGACATGTACCATGCATGCAATGGTTTGCTTACAATGGATGGTGTTGATTTTGCTTCTGGATGGTGTTGATTTTGTAGTCTGGAAGGAAGAGAGACTCATTAAAATGGCAGAAATGCATCTACAGTGACCAGACTGTATGTAACATTATTTGTCTTTTAAGTGCTCCCAATAGTGAATTGAACAGGATTTGACAAATTCCTGCAGAGAAAATGGCTTCGAAGCCCAGAAGGTTTTAATCATTCAGACACCCTACTGACTAACAAGTTACTATGAATTTATAATGCTGACATATTCATGAAAGGAATCTGGATGCCTTCTTTGAGATACATTTTTGACAAAATTTTTCATTTTCTACTCCTCGTTTTCAGTCCTTATGCATAGTTTGAGTCACTACAGGCACAACTGAATTGCAGTGGCAGGAAATGTTAGTAAAGACTCACCTCTAAAGGAGGCTGGGTGTATTTGGGCAGCTCATGGTCACTATAATGCTGTTCTCGCTTTACTGAAACAGTTATGTGTTCTTTAAGACAGACTGTGAAAGGACGCTGTCCTAACCAGAGAGGACAATGCTCAGCAGTTTAAATTGCAATTATATGGCCCCAATTAGTGGAGAGATGTAACCTCATTGATATTGACCCTTAAGAAGATATGAAGCTCTTCTCTAGGAGCTGAACAATGAAATTATCAGGTCATTTAAATGTCCTTCAGAAAGCCAAGCAAAGTGCAGGCTGGCACTGAAAAGCCTTCATCACCTCTGGCTGCATCCTGCACCCTCCCACTCCCTGCCTTTCTCTGCCACCCTTGTTTGTGTAGCCATCTGCTGAGCTGGATCCAGCACTGACCTGCCTGAAAGCTAATCCCTTTCCAGCTCACAAGCTAAACAGATGAAAGGAAAAACCTTTCAGGCAGAAGTATGGAACTATCTTTTCTGGCAGAAATCTGCTGTAAAGTTGGCCTATACTCAATGTGGTACAGTGCCAGAGGAAAGCTGCAGCACCTGGGATGAGAGGACCTAGGTAATGGTCTAAGATTGAATTTTTCAAAGTTCATTTCAGCAGGAGCAGAGTTAGGTTTGCAGGGAAAATTTTTAGAGGCCCTCCTTATGCTGTTTCTGTAGAACATTGGGTCATTCCACCAACAAGTATTTAATTTTAGACACCCAAATAGTCCCTCGAGGCTAAGAGGGCATGGCACGTGTCCACACTAAGAATACCTCTACAGGGAAAGCAAAAATATCGAAGCTCATGGTCTTTATTATACATGCTGTGGAATTAAAATCTGAAGGAAACATATTTAAAAATTCTGCCACTAAGGAATAATCTATGGATCCTGAGATGTGATCCCCTCTATCCCTGTGAAATTCTGATAACAGTTTCAGAAGCCCTGGTCACATTGAAAGCTGCATCTTGTTTCCCTAATGTGGGTTGTGTGGATAGCTGCAGAAATACTATTAAAATGTAGAACTCAACTACTCTAAACTCCATGAATTTTATAAAACTCATACCCTTCATGTGAAGGGTTTATAGACTGCTTCAGTTAGTACTGGGCAAATGCTAACAGCGAGTTTTCCCTAAATATCAGTTGTGTGTGGTGATTTCTCAGACTGCACCTGCTGCCTTCAATGTCCTTTGTTCCACAAGGCCTTCCCTAGCAGAGAGAAAAGGCTTCCTCAATAGTGGAAAAGAAAATGGTGCATTTTTCATCTTGAAGTTACTGGATGAGAGGCCTTGCTACAGCAGTGATCCATAAGGGGGGTCAGCATGCACTTAACTTACTGAAGTTGCCTCATTTTGGGGAAAAAAAAAAAATTTAGCACATATTTGACTTTAGGAGTAGTCCCATTGAAACAGAAGGTGAATTTTGAACTTAGCTGACTCAGGGCTGATTGCTTGTAATGAAAAAAAAGCAAGTGTACCATTTATGTAAGTCTTGTCTCTTCTTTGCAAAGCAGAGCAGTTAGCACAGCGAATGCTAAAATGCATGTAATTGGATTTATTAAAATAATTGATAGATTTGTTCATGAATTTCTGATTATTTTCACATTCTGGAAATGAACAAACAACAACATGTGTTGAATAAATTGTTTGTTGTAATTTATTTGCTCTTTTCAATCTAGGAAAAAAATGGGTCTATAAATACCCAGTATTTGCAGAGCTTCCCGCAGCCCATGCATGCCAATTTATTTCTAAAAGCTTTTGACTTTCAATTCTTGTCTTTTTATTGAACAAAATTAAATCCTTTAACCAGACATTGCAGGCAATGTCATATGCTTGGAAAAAAAAAATTAGAAACAAAGTCAACCATTATTTACAATTTAAACTGACCTATTGCTGTTGCTTGGCATTTTTCTGAATTACAGTATTTTCTGAAGGAAATGACAGAAAGTGGTTACTAACGTAGTGATGTATAAGTCTGGGCAAAGAGGAGTGGAAACATCTTTTGGTTTTCTTTCCTTTTACTGAATTACTGTGCTACCTGGTTGTATGACAGATGACACAGATCAAGGGGGAAAAATGTACCACATGGATCTTGCCAAAGACACAGAGCCTGTTTGAGTATTTGTCAACAAGTCTCCAGAAGAGATATGTGCAATGTGCAATAAATCCCTAGGCTTAGGTATGTCAACACTGCTTTATTTGTTAGGTTCGTGGAGACTTCTGTGATGAGAAAGAAAATTATTTGAATGCTTCTACATGAAGAAATACTGTTTAAGAATAATGCTGATGGGTTGCAAACTAAACTAAAATAGAAATCCAAGCTGATACCTTGAAATTCTGTTTTCACAGAAGTGTGTCGTTCATTTTCCTAGAAACTCACATGCACTAAGCTTTACAGTCTTTCTCTATAAAAGCCTTTCAGTCAGGTTGTTTTTTACTCATTGCATGGAAAATCATAGGCATACACACATAAAAAGTGAATGGGTCATGGTGGGGGCTCTAAAATTTGTTTAACTGGAGGTTTTCTTTGACTCAGGAAGTGCTGCTGGCTAATTTGGATGCTGTATCCTTGTAGGAAGCACACTGTGTTCTCTGCAAAGAGCCAGTTTGTGCAGCCCAGTCGTTCTTTGTACTTTCGAGCCCCTTGTATCTGTGTATCTTCAGTTAATTAACAAATGCTGAGTGATAGCATCTGCCAGTGACTGTTATGCTATTAATAGGACTAGTGCATCAGATATTTCCTGTGGGCTTGAATTTTTGTGGTAGGGTTTATTTGTTTGTTTATTTGTTTGTTTTATTTTTTCTCTCCCTTTCTGCAGGCCTGCCTTGATTTTTTTTTTTTTTTTTTTTCTGCTTTTATTCCTCCAACTGTTCAGATTTTAATTGCTGTGTGGAACAGTGTTGCCTTTTTTTCCCTCTCTTTAAAGATGAATGGATTACAGATGCCTTCCTCTTCCTTGATACTCATTGCTTGTGTTTATCACCTTTATCACAGTCTGTTAAGCATTGTCCTGTTGAGTGTATAGCACCAAGATATTTATTGTAAATAAAATTGCATGGGTTTCAGTGCTGGCTAGATCCCTAACTACTTCAAATTTATTTATATTAATGAGTTTTAAATGAAAGGAAATTAAAGGAATGGCAGCTTAGCCTACTGTTCTTTCTAGCATTGGCTGGTGATTCTGCACAGAATAGTTGGCAGAAATTTCTATTGGTCAAGACAGTAGAAAATTTACTCTTAGTAGCTGAAATGGGAATGCTTGATTGCTGCTTTCTATCCTGTGGTATTAGTCAAGTTCATTTGCTTTAGGGAAGTTCTGTTTCTGAAATGTAAACTGCCCTCTTGTATAAAGGGTAAGATCTAGAGCTGTGTGCTTTACCTTTGTACCCGCTCTTCTGAGCTGGGGAAATGTCCATGGAGGCGAACAGTTCCACCTGGCATTGCTGCTTCTCAGGAGTCTGCTTATCTTCAGTTGCTAAAATCACTTTGGGAACACTTCTAAAAATTCTCATTCTGACCTGCCTCACTGTGGAAACCTCCAGAACTCTGAGGGCAGGTCTTGATATTTTCAATTTTTTCAGGAAAAACCAGTTATTTCCGGCGGTGTCTTCCTTGCAGCCTCTGTAAATCTTAGTGTGAAGGCTGTCAGTTTGTATTGGAGGGGTTGGAGCTCAGCAGAGCTCTCAGCACTCCTCACTGTGGACCAAGCCAATCCCATGGCCATCAAGGGATGGCATCCTTAGCAAATTAGGCACAGTGGGGACCCAGCCTCTGTCAGTCATGCCAATAGCACAGTGTGTGATTGCAGTCCACTCTTGCTGAGATAAAAGCAATTATTTTCTTGCTCTCCTCTTCTCATTTGGAAGGAAAGGTCCTTGTTAGCTGCAGGCTGAGAGTCCAGCCTTCAAAGAGACACTCAGACTAAAAAGGCATATGTGAATGGTTGGAATTGTTCTGGGTTTTGTGGTAGTTTTTAAAATATTTAAAAAAAACATTTTTTAAATGTTGTAGTGGACAGGAGATTTCAAGGAGATGTTTAGTGAGAATGTTTTTTGTACCTTTTTAAGGGAGGAGCCACCGTGTCCTGCAGCATTTTGGAGATCAAAACATAAATTTGTTCAAATGGAAACTTCTTTTTGGATTAAATGCTGTAAAATATAGGATGGTGCATGAAATGTCTCCTACCTTTTATCCAGTGTTCTTCCAGTGGAAGAACCTAGGGATTCTTCTTCACTTCTGTTTTTTCTCTAAATAGAGTGGCCTAAATCTGTTTCATTCAGCAGTTTGAGCTAAATATTCAACCTCACCAGAAAAGGGTTGAAATCCTGAACCTACAAAAGATTAT